TGAAATTGCAACTTTGACACTCTGTATCTCGGTTAATATCAACTTTTGGTCTAAGTTAGGTTTCGTTAAATAGTTAACTTAAAGAATCTCTATTTTGCCATGTAGCAATACTTATGGGACACCCTGTATATTTATGTATTATGAATATATGCATATATATTTATGTATGCCGCATTTTGCGCAAAGTTATAGAACTTTCATGGTAAGCCGCATACCAAGAAAATTATGCAAGTATTTGCAATTACCGTTTCGTTGTTTTCGATAAAGACATATGGTTGCAATAATTCAGATCATTTATAATGCTACAAAAATTAATTCTAATCATTTTGCGCTGCGTCTGGTCTCTACTTTATATAAAGTTTATTCAAAATCACTTTGCTTGTAGCGACATGGTCGAGAGCAAATTTTCGCCATTGCCTCCCTCGGAATTTCCGTCGATAACGTTCATAGTTTCCAACATATTTCATTGTGAAGCCGCGCAGCCTGTAAACGGAATCGGTATCAGAGTGTGTTCGCGCGAGAAATATGCAGATCGTCGACCATGGGCGCTGAAGTACATACCGCCCATTATTTCATTACTTGACCGATTCATGAACTACAGTCTTGCAATGCATACCAACCTCAATAAATTAGACCTAATGGCTATACCCGGTCTAGGAGAGCATGCCCTAAGCTATTGGGGACTGGTAACGTTCGGGTAATAGAGTTTTTTTCTTTTTGGGTTGATTGAAACCGTTCAGTTTAATATCAATTTCTAATTAAACAACTTTGAGAAATACAGCGTAGAAAAATTATGACTGAATAAATTGAGAGGTTTCAAGGAATTCCGAGGAATTCCAGTTGAATTTCAGTTATTTCAAGCATCAAAAGACATTTTTTGTATGCGAATATTTTTTGAAGCAAAAAAACGCTTGTTAAAAAATTAAAATAATTTTCAAATTCACAATTAAAAATATTTGGCCAACAGGTGTAACTGATTTTTAATGTACGGCTGCAAAAAGCGTAAAATGCTTAGCGTTCATTCACTGTTTCCAATTTCAAAAAATGTTGGGGCATGTCCAAATACTAAAACATATCTAGTCGTATTAACTAAGCAGGCCCCTGACCAAATCACATGAAAATAATAAAAGAAACAATCAAAACAGGAACTACTAAGCATTTTAAGATTAAAGGCTAACAGCATAATCTTCATTTCTTATTTTAATGATACACAAATTGCTACGATCCTGAAGATCAAAATAAATTAAATTTTCCAAGGATTGATTAATATAGGGAACTAAACTTTTTTTTAAAACTGCCACTAAAGTCAGAATTGAATCAATGACCAATTGCATTATAGACATATTTTTTGCTGATACACGACGGAGGTATCTGAAGTTAGGGTAAGTCCGGAGAATAATGAGTATTAAAGGAACAGCAGTGTACACTTACCTCTGCGGGTTAACAATCGCGTAATTGCTTATCCTTTTGAAATGTATTTCTTTTAAATGTGTTTCAAAATATAGTGACAAATGATATATGATAACTAATGATTGTGAGGGAGGGCTGCACTAAATCCGTCTCCTTTAGAAATAATAATTTAAATGGGCGCTAGTTCAGTTATTCTTAATTGTTGGACTAAGTAACCTTTACTTTATGAAAATCCATTTAACACGCGATATATAGAACTTTAAGTTGCAATAAAACAACAATGGATTATTCGATTGACATGAATTTTATTTATCCGAAAGATAATCTTGTGGCAATAAATTATAAATATGATTTCTGGCAAGACAGCCACGGCTGGCGCGGATGTAACCCAATCTGGACGTCCAATTTTCGATGACTTTTTCAAACATTTGTGGCCGTATACCGGCAATAATACGGCGAATGTTGTCTTCCAAATGGTCAAGCGTTTGTGGCTTATCCGCATAGACCAATGACTTAACATAGCCCTATAGAAAGTAGTCTATCGATGTTAAATCACAAGATCTTGGAGGCCAATTGACAAGTCCAAAACGTGAAATTAGGCGTTCAACGTGTCTTTCAATAAATCGATTGTGGCATGAGCTGTGGGACATGTTGCGCCGTCTTGTTGAAACCACATCTCCTGGACATCATGGTTATTCAATTCAGGAATGAAAGAGTTAGTTATCATAGCTCTATATCGATCACGATTGACTGTAACATTCTGGCCATCATCGTTTTTGAAGAAGACCAATGATTCCACCAGCCCATGAAGCGCACCAAACAGTCAGTTTTTCTAGATGTAACGGTGTTTCGACACACACTTGAGGATTAGCTTCGCTACAAATGCAGCAGTTTTGTTTGTTGACGTAGCCATTCAACCAGAAGTGCGCTTCATCGCTAAACAAAATTCGCTTATGAAAATCGGGAACAACGGCAATCTCGTTTTGGATGCGACGAAACTGCGCCTTACTTGATGATCGTTTGGCTTCAATTCTTGCACTAGTTGGATTTTGTAAGCACGTACACCAAGATCCTTCCGCAAAATCTTCCATAAAATGGATAGACACAGATCCAATTTCTGTGCTCGATGGCGGATGGACTCCTTCGGGTCTTCCTCAATGCTACGCTCTACAGCAGCAATAGCTTCTTCTGTACACACCGTACGGCGTCTCTGGGGATGCGAGTTATCAATAAGAGTAAATGTCGTGCGAAAACGTTCTATAGTTAATCGAATTAACTGCTCTGATGGACGATTTTGTCGACGATAAAATGGACGTAGTGTGCGTTGTTCAGGCGTGAGTCTATCCATGATGAATTGCCAAACCAAACTGAGAATCATTTGACAGCTGTTAAATCGGTCGCCATCTTGAACAGTAATGCCAACTTAAAGTTCTATACATCGAAAAAAAACACCCATTATAAGAACAAAAGCTGTTCAGATTTTCACAGTTACTTATTACTTTATGAGAGCTTTTTCGACAACACCATGCCTTTATCAAATACATAATATGACAAAATTCCGACATCTAAATATACAATCGGGTAGTAGTAGTAATTAGTAATTGAAAATACCAAAATAATACAAAAAGATTTCATCACAGAAAATTTTGCAAAAGAATAAAATATTATAAAACAAATAAAATTTAACGAACCCTCATTTATTGATAAGGTTATAAATAAAAAACAGTTTCAAACAAATCGGAAGATTATCTGTCCCATATTAAATACAGAACCCAAAATTAAAAAACAAATAATATACATAGGAGAATCTAGTAAGGAAGTTTCGAAACATCTGTCTAAATTTGGTCTTAAGATTGCTTTTAAAACGGAAATCATTATTCGAAAATTTGTAAAAACACAAGAAAACTTAATCATAATTAACTCAAAAGTCCGGAGTCTAGAAGTTGAAATGTGATTCATGGTAACAAGTAGAACATTTAAGAAACGCATTAATGAACATAAAAAAGCGTATAAAAATAAAAGTGCGAATTCTAGCCATGCCTAAATTTAAATTTATATCTCTACAAAGGTAATTAAGAATCCACTACCACCTCACTTGTACATATAGATGTCGAAAAATTGATAAAGGCACGGTATTGTCGAAACAGCTTTCATAAAGTAGTATATATATATATATATATATATATATATATATATATATATATATATATATATATATATATATATATATATATATATATATATATATATATATATATATATATATATATATATATATATATTTACATCCTTCTAACAAAGCTGAACCATTAGACATATCGTACAATCCTGAACCTCCCATTTCTAGAGTAGTTACAGTTGCCTACGTGGTGTTTTTAAGCCTTTTTTGAGGGGGGCGTTCCAAAAATGTGTATATACATGAGATTTATTCAACAAATTCAGAGTTGTATATTTAAGGATTTTTAATATTATTGATGTCATCCTGAACCCTTTGTTATTTCACACAATCCTGAGCCAAAATACACATATATGCGGCAAAGCTGAACCTGCGCAGGGTTGCCAATTTTAAGGTGAATAGGAAAATGCTAAGAAAATCTTTGTTTACTTAGCCCTTCTTGTAACAAACCTGCCATTACATAAAATAAATTGAGTATGAAAGTCACCAAAAATACTTTTCAGTTTTAACTAATTACATATCAAAATTACAGAAATTTTGTCAGAAGGTAAAATGTTTTTGGTTATGTGTACAGTCTCCTTTTTAATTTCCTCAACTTTTTATGTAACTATCGCAAATTGACTTCCACGAAACAATTATTTTTAAGGACAAAATAGAATTAAAGATGCGCCTCACTATATATATATATATATATATATATATATATATATATATATATATATATATATATATATATATATATATATATTTTGCAACAAGTTCAATGATCGACTGAATAAAGAAATTTATGGAAATTGTTGCATACAATACGAATACATTTACTTAGTCAAAACTGACCACCGACAAAAGACTAACCAATCCTATTATCTCCGAAATCATCAAACCCGGGACCAATATAACTAAAATGTCGGAATTGGCCTGCAGCTGTAGATAGCAAAAGTGGCGTTTATAGCGGTGAATAAGTGAGTATTTTAGAGAATTCTTTGCTTAAATCCTATAGAACCGGTCAAGTTCATGTTATTGTTCCGTGGTTAAATTTTCAAAAAATGCACTGCCAGGGTACCGTTATTAATTTATTGTTAAAAACAAAACTGACGTAAAGTTATTCATACAAATCAAGTAATAATAAAGCGTAACTCTTGAGAAAGACAAAATAACAGCCTAGTTGTGAAACATAATTTAGAAGTTACACGATACACTTTTATTGTGAAGTTAAAATAAAATATAAGCAAAAAATATGTATTTTAAAAACTAAGTTGGCTTAATACTAAACTAAAAACAAAATCAGCTCAAGAATACAAAGTAATGAATCAAATATATAAAAGATTCTAGCGTAAAAAATAAAATTTAACATCTCAACGTCTTAATATTTAAGTTTTCCACTGTACATATTATAAACTACAGCTTTTATGCTTGTCCATTTTCTGTCTTTAAATAATTCAGGATATTGATTAGAGAATTCATTAACTTCCTACCGATTCGGAGCTTTTCTTTTTTTATTATGATCAGAAAAATATTCCGAAATTTTTATTTTTTGTAAGTTTGTCCATGATTGTCGTTCGTTAATGGGGATTGGCTTTTTTGGTTTTATCGCTTTTGTTGGTATTTCAGAATTATTTGAAGTGGATGGCATCTCGCAGTCAATGTTCAGATTATTGTTACTTGCATAGATTGTTTCCATTTCTTCATTATCAAAAACAGGGGATAAATCAATATCAATTTCATCTAGTGTTTTAGATTTGTATTTGTCGGCTCCGCCTTCCATCATTAAAAGTAAAAGTTTTGAAATTTTAGCTGTTTGATACACTTTATCGGACATACGGTAAAAGTTTGAATGAGTTTGTAATGTGTGACCCATGAATTTGCTTAATTGCTCCATATCGTTATTTGAAAACTGAAGAAGTTGAGTGATGGTAGCTAAATGCTTTCGAAGTTTTGTTGCTGTTATATTGGCAGCTTTCTCCAGTTGGCATTTCTTGGCATATTTGTGAATAATTTTAGTTCCATCAACAAACCCTCGACCAGTTGTGTGAAACACAAAATCACTTTGAATTGCAAAGTTATCTCTAGTTTGCAAAATACATTCAAAATGCGTTTTCATTATTGGTGATAATAATATGGGTACCCCTCTTCCACGCTTTCCTCTTATAACTAAACGACTGTAGGTTTTTAATAAAATCTTTTCGGATTCTGTTAAACATTTTTCAAATTCGTTATTGGAATCACTTTCTAAATTAATTGATTTAAAAGTTTGGACTTTTAGCTGAGCTACCTCAGCTGGTCGCCTTCTGTTAAGAAGAATAACTTGGGTATACAATATTTCTTTTAATGAATTATAGGCTTTGAAATCGTGTTCATTTGATTTCAAACTGTTAAATGATTGCTCTGCAGCATTGTGCAAAAAAATATTAAACCTCTTTAGGTCGCTAGTAAGAGGCAATAATTCTTCTTTGTTCCATTTACTTTCATTTAAATTAGTACATGCTTGCGCGGAAACTTCATTACACCATTGAGATTCTATTAGGTTCTTTAATATTTTAAGATCTTTTCGTTGATCGCTTGTGTTTTCCATTTGAACGAGATTAATATATGCGAGGTCACAACATTTTTTTATAAGTGTTCCAAAATTAATAGCCAAAGTTGGAGATTCATAATTTTCTGTTTGCGTATTATATTTTGCAATTTTATTAACTCCAGATATTATTAGTTTAAAGTGCTTTGGTCGGAGAATATCTATAAGATTCTGAACGTCGGAATTCTCTTTTCTAGCACACCGCAAAAGTTTTGCAAGTCTTCGCATATTTTGTCTTACCAAGTCAATATTACCTTTACTTTGGCGGCCCTTTATATAGGAAAATGCATATTGACAAATTAAAGTATCTTTTTTAGCTATAAGGCTTATGTCGTCTGCGCGCATTCTACAGAAAATTTTAGTTTTCAATAAATCGTCTTGTTTAAAATCTTGTAAAAGTAAAGCAGTTTGTCCATCGCTTTGGGAAGTTTGTCTTCTTTTGTTTTCTTTATCATAATTAGATGGACATATTTTGGTGTGCCTGTATAAATTTTTTTTTTATAGTAACCTAAACAATATTTGCAGGGAAGATACTCGTCTGAGGTTGAAAATTTTTCAGTAATTTTTAATCTCTTGACAGGTCTTACTACAGTATCTGCCCTATTTTTGATAAAATTTCCTTTTTTTTTAAGTTTGATAAAGCCAGTCGCCTCTCCTTTGAATTAACATGATGACAAAGTAGTCTGACTACATCAATCTCCTCGGAGTGCCATTTAGAAACATGTCTAGCAAAATGCGATACATCTTTTTCGCAATAGAGGCAAAAATCTCTCCGATCTTTGTAGTTCTTTCTTAATGCTTTTTCCACCATTGGCTGAAAGAAATGGTGAAAACTTAGAAATAGTCACAAATTTAATTACTAGAGTTGTATAGATCGAAAAATGTTTGTTTCAAATTTTAAATAAAATTTAAGTATAATCTTAATCTTAAATGCAGACAAAACATCGTCAACAAAATGATTTTCAATTAAACTGCAACCTTTCAATAGAACTATGACAATAACATAGTTAAACTATCTGCTTTCTTTAACTTGTATTCCTAAATAAGGGATGAAGCAATATTTATTCCTTTTTGTATTATAGGAGAGTTGTAACTGAAATTTTTTCTTTTCCGACGAAATTGTTTAATTAACAAACATTTTAGTAGCGAAATTATTTTTTACCTACATTACGTAAAAATAGTAGGTTACCTCATTTTCTAGAGCAAGATCTGAAATTTGTTGAGCTACATTATCGCTTCTGCTTTCATCTTGCAATTCTCCAAGTATCCGTGGTTGACAATCAGTGGCTAAGAGGTTTTTTGGTAGCTTTTTTTTTGCAACTTTTTTTCTAGTAGGATGGGAAAAATAAACAAACTTATTCCATGAATAAATCGATAATATGAAAGATTTGAATAAGTACTTACTATTCCTATTCATTAAATACACATCAGCCACAACTTGATCAATTACAGACCTTCCATCCTCTTCTTTTGCATTTTCATCATTTTGAAAACAAATATTTGAATTTGAAGAATGAGATTTCACATTTAAAGGCGAATCTTTATTTAATTTATTTATTTCTGATGGAGGTGGTGACAAATAATTTTCGGAAATATTCGAACAATTATCACTAACTTCTGTCGTTTTCTTTTCTAAAAATTTTATTGTTTTAACGTGGATCTTCGAAAAAATACTTTTTGTGTAGAAAGAGAAAAAGGAGAAAGAGACAATAACTTACCTTTCGCTAAACACAAATCAACTATTAATTTGCAACGGCCGCTATTATTCATTTTCAAACCGACGACCGACGCGAGGCCGACGTAAGAACGATGACAAACCTGAACCACGGTATACAAAATTCCAACTCTATAAAACTTAGTTTGCCATCTCACTGCCTCAAAAAAATAACTAACAGTGTTGCCATGTAGTGTGGATCAGGATTGGACTAATGGTAAGATATACACAGAGAAACGTGTATAATTTTGAAATTGTCTGCAGCGCCAAAAACGGCCAAATAGTTGAACTAAAATACTAGATATACCATACGATCCTGAACCACCATAAAAACAGATTTCTTTAAGGTTCCAATTGAGCCACTGAAACAAAAGTTAGCCACTTTTGCGACCCGATGGCGCCTCTAATTCTAGTTTGTATTATATCTAAAAATATCAAAGTTTACGTGAAATATGACAAGAAAACAATCCTGATCCAATATACAGGTTCAGGATTGTCAACGTGGTTCAGGTTTGTTAATAAGTTTTACTATCGAAGGTTCAGGAATGTATGATTTCCGAAAAAAAAAAAAAAAAAAAAAAAAAAAAAAAAAAAAATATATATATATATATATATATATATATATATATATATATATATATATATATATATATATATATATATATATATATATATATATATATATATATATATATATATATATATATATATATATATATATATATATATATATATATATATATATATATATATATATATATATATATATATATATATATATATATATATATATATATATATATATATATATATATATATATATATATATATATATACAGTGTTCGAAGTGTTTTCGGAGCGCGAGCATTGAAGATGCCAAGTGAGATTTTGGCGAAACGTCTGCAGGATTCGATTTAGAATTATCGAATTTCTTCTACGTGTTTAAAAATTTAGTAAAACAGGGATAGTTTTTAAATCAATTTAATGTTACAGCGAGGAGGTGTTGCTGCACGATTTAAAATATGAAACAAAGAGACAATACGGTACCGGCGTGTTTGCTCATGAAATGTGTCACCAATGGATCGGAGAACTGGTAACCGCCACTCCTCAAATCTTCGAAGGCCTTTGCGCTTTCATGCAGTTCTTTATTCCTTCACAGCTAAAGGTAAGTGCAAATATCAATAGCCGTTATTATTAAGACATAAAGAGTGTGTTATATTGCGCATTACACTAGTGTATTCGCTTTTATAGGCCCTCATTTATTAAATTCGTTTTTCCGTTCTCGTCTGTAAAATACCTAATTACACACCGATTTAGCGTGCGGAGGAATCACTTTACCACGTCAGTTTCGTTTCTCACGGATCCGAGCCACACATTTCAGAGATTTTACCGCACGGGTTTGGGCGCAATCGCATGTTTTCGCAGATTTCACCGCACCGTTTGAATTTTAACGTTTGTCAATTCTGTTGTTTTGTTTTGGAATAATGTACCAAACAACTAATAAATAATAACTAGTAAAGTTAAATTTATAATTTAAGTTTCCCACAGAAATTTGAAATACAGTTCGCATGAACTTTAATGGTTTTTCAGTTTTTGTATTAATATATTGCTAAGATCAATTGTAGCATTTTTGAATATCCATCTCTCATCAGTGCAAACGAAACAAAATTTAAGGTTGCTATTTTTTTGCTTATACGATCTTAAAAACTTAATCCTCTTGGATGATTTTTCTTCCACATTTGCAGTCTTTTTCTTTAAATAAACTAATTAGTGGTAAATTGTAAAAGTTAAATAAAGAACATAATGTTTTAAAATTGTGTTTATTCCGTTGTTTATATGACATATCAATAATACATCTCTCTCTGTCAAACGTACACAATTAAAAAGAGACAACAATCGCAGAACCAATAGGAACGATGAATGGTACGAAATCGGATAATCTGTTATTATTTTTAATTCGTTAAATTATGATTTTTTCGTGAAGGTCGTAGAAAAAGTATAGTATGCAACACGTTAGTTATATGCCCCAAATTGCAGACGAAGCTCAAAGCTAAGAGAAGATAACGCCTCGCTGACACCGCATCGAAAGCTCTTATTCGATTGTCACATTGTAAAATTGCTCTTAATTATTCCAGCCTTTGTATCGGCTAGTCCGAAGAAAACTTTATTTTGCTTTCCGTCTAAATAAATGTTTATAAAAACGCTCTCCCGAATTTGGAACATTTAAGTCGTTTGGTAAACTTTTTAATTCACGACTTTATTTGGCACCAGCGGAGAGCAGCCGAGCCTTTTTTATAACAGGTCTACAATCTACGATCATGTTAAATCACTCGTGTTTTTCATGACATAATCACACGCATGTGTCAACGATTTGTTGAATATTCCTTAGCAGACAACATCGCTATTTATGCAGGCGTTTTGGTGTATGGTGTAAAGTTTTAATATGCACGTGTATAAAAAAATGAGGTTATTTTTCTTTCTTTAAAGAAAGAATTGGACTTCGCTTGTTGGGTTAAAACTACCATAATTATAATATACTCTACGGTTAAAATTATGTAGCATTCTCTATCTAATTTGATGGTGCTTGTATTCCTTTTGTTTCTTCTGGGTCCAATTAGGATTATTTTGTTAGAAATTTCTGAAATTCTACAATACTAGCGGAGAGAGTGTTTCATAAATCAGAGATCAGAAAAAAAATTCTACTCCCTTCCCCAAAATACCCAATTATGCATGCAGTTATGGATCAACGGTGCGGAAAGTATCACTAAAAGACGTCGCCTTCGTTAACCACGGTTCCGTACCATTTACGACGAGATGATATTTTGACTTTTATCAGTTCTGACGCTCACGTGTCACCCAGTGACAAAAACATTCGTTTGGCCAGAATGTACCGAAAAAGCAATAGTCTTAGAAAAAGTATGGTACACATCACGTTGCTTAACTTCTACACTTATTCATTTCTTAAACACCTGCTTCGCGATTGTGCGTTGTCAATTGTGTTCACAAAATGTATCTACTACAGGACCTGTCTGATTGGAAGTACATCAATTATATGATCCCGGACATACATGAGGCCCTAAACATAGACGCGGACAAAAACACCAAATCTTTAATGGAACCTACACACAAAAAGTTGATATACAGAAAAGGATGTTATGAGCTACTTCCGATATTTTAACGAGATTTTATTGAATAGGTGCTGGCCTATTTCGCATGATACAGCACGTAATGGGAAATGACAATTTTTTTAAAGCTATCCAGCAATACGTGATGAAATTGTAAGTAGATTTAAATTGAGTGAGTCATGGTAATTTATCTACAGTCATTTGGTTTACCTCGTGGTTCCGTTTCGAAAATATAATTAAAAAATATTTTACACAGCTCTTCGCATTGTCATAACACCATCCCCTCCTTGATATATTGCCCCTCGTTATTCCGTTATGACATTAGATTAATCGTAACCTAGTTACAGTAGCGCTATTATAATTATTTTTATTTAGTTCAATGATGTTCCGCCATGATATTGACAGTATTATAACATTAGTAATAATATGAACGAATAAAAACAAATTTCAATAATTGTCTACCATCAGTCAGTGAAAAAGATATTACAGTAAAATTAAAAGATTAATCGACTTATCTGGAAGATTAATATTAATTTTCCGAGCTTGTCCGTAGATACAATTACACACTGTAGTATCCGTTCATCATGTTCTCGATCACGACGTTTAAAGCAAAATACCTGCTTTTTTTGTCTCCGCCGAACGCCGGCCTGCCGGCCGGGCTTGTGAATCATTCCGTTTTGAATCAAAATCGCCTATGGGGTATCACTGGGTAAAGGGTGGGTTTGTAATTGTATCTACGGACAAGCTCGGAAAATTAATATCAATCTTCCAGGTAAGTCGATTAATCTTTTAATTTTCCTTCACTTGTCCTTGATACAATTACACACTGTAGATGTTCAGAGTGAAAGGCGATTTTGCTGCCGCTGGAGGTGGAGGTGTATTTCCATAATTTGTAACAATATGAACCGTAGTAATAAATAATTAAACTACCCACAACGGTGTAGATATCTACACAATAATATATACAATAACAGGGCTCGATTAAAGGTCCATCGTAAAATCTAAAAAATGTATTAAAGGATGGTATCCAACCGGCTGTAGGGTGTATTGAGTCAATATTGAAACTCGTCTTGAAGCAGCCGAAGTTGCTGCATAACGGCTGCTTTGACCGGAAAAGATTTTGGTGTCAATTCCACCTAACTTTAGGACACGTTTTAGTCCGCAACTTATGCTCTGCGATGATGCGGCGTCAAATGGTTTTCTATGCGTTAGTAGTAAGATGCTCATAATCTTTGCGATAGCTCGAAGTTTTCTCTAAGTAGATGTATATGTTGTGAGCTACGCATAGTTCTACCATTTTGTGAAGGTAAGGGAATTTCAGAAGCGGGTTGGTTTTATTTTTTTATATTTAGGCTCTGGAGGTCTTGTGTTAGCAACATCTTTTAAAAATCTGTTAATGATTTTTGTATCAACCTCTTTGGGGGAAAAGGTTAAGTTCAGAGCCGATCTGTAGAAGTTGATAACAGAAGATGCC